CTGCCTCCTGCTGTTCCACTGAGGTCTAAACAAATCAGTTGTTTGTCCAGCAGTGAATGAAAGTGACTCGAGCATCATGACGTACATCACTTTAGTTTCACACAATCAAAATGCTAGTAAAGGAGCTGTCCAGGTGCTGAAGTACAAAAGAGGATGACGTAAAACCACCATTAAAAAGCAAAAATCCTACAAAGTGATCAACGATGTAGCCATTATTTTTTGATGACTTACCAAAAATAATTGTTACAACTGGGATTTATTTGGTTTTGCAGCTTTTTTTTAAGCTAGTCATACAAATCAACACAGTTTATCCAGAATGTGTGTGTTTTTTCCTCAATGCCTGATCAGCTCCACACAGGCGTTAGCCTAGTTGGATGAAACAATTAGCACACAGCTAGCTCAGCCTGCAGCGTTGTTCTCTTTGGCCTAAATGCCAGAATCTCCCTCTCTTTTTTTTTTTTTTTTACCTCCTTTCCTCCATAAAAAATCCTCTCCAGCAGGGCTTCACAGCACAGCGACACGCCCCGCTGTTGGATTTGATAATGAAGCAGATGAATAATAGAATATAGCCTACAGTACATCAGACAGAAAACCTTGTGTTTCGGCTGCTGGAGACGTAGATTCCAGTCAAAGTTTAATAATAATAGGCCTATATACTCACAGCAGTCAATATTCTCCAGGAGGACCAGAGCAGGACTGATTCAGATGTGATTAATAATGTGTGAGAGCCTTCACTATCGCAGCCACAATCACTAATTCACACATTCAAATACACAATGAAATCAAGTTGGTGGAAGGTGATTAAAAAGAAGGTTTCATGTTTTGTTTTTTTTCCCCTCCCGGGGTTCGAGCAGACAGCGTTTACATACAGACTAATATTGAGCTGAAACAGAAACATCAATATATGTGCATAGTTAAGAAAACACTCAATGTAATATTTAAGTAGGGAAGAGGAGGCTGGAGGAAAACATTGATCCTGGCAACGAGGATTAAAGATCCTTGATCATGTTTGTTTTTAGGCTAAGTTTGGAAAAAACATCACAATTATTTATGGCTCCGGGTTAAAATAGTTAAACATATAGTTTTGTTCACAGCTTCACAGTGAAGTCTGCGTAAAGGCCACGAATGCTGTAAGCAGGAAAAAAAAAAACGATCGATGTTAATTTTCAGAACGCACACGTCCACTGCTGAGGATGCTGGGGATTTTAAGATAAAACAGCCACTGAAGTGTCCGGTGATGACCTGGTACAGAACTAAATGTGGGAGAAGCCTCGCAGCAATGCATTATCTTTTACATTAACGCTTCTCTAAATTAGACAGAAGAGAGTTTTTGTGACCTGGTATCACACCTCCATGTGAGTATTTCTTAAAATAAGATCCAGGGAATGCCTGCATGGAAAAGTATGCCAATACGTACTTGTCCCAGAGACAGAATTCAGTACAAATGAAGCAGCCAATAGCCTAGCGGCTAAAGTATCAGGGATGTACTCAGAGGCCTGGGCAGAGCTGTGGTGTGATGGTGCTGTTGTAAGGAGGGCAAATATCAGCATGTACATGTACTACGATAAATTAGGGTTTGTTTTTTTTTTATACTTCTTCTATTCATGGAAGACAGTGTTTTTTTATACTTCTTCTATTCCTGGAAGACAAAGCAGTGAAAATAACCAGATACGTCTATTTGTCGACTTGTTACAGGAAACGTTTTTTCTCTTAAAATATTTAATTAAAATGTTTTATTTAAGATTAAAATGAGAAACACAGTCTTTGTCATCGCTCCGAGTAAAAGCAAATGTGTTTGTAATTCATGTAAACGTTCATGTGAGGTAACCACTACATAAAACATTCAGTTCATTAGAAGCTGAAACTCAAGTTTTCATCTGCACTTGTCTGATTTTGACAGCGATCAATACGCGTGTAATATTTTAAGTTTGAAAGTAATTAACTTGGAGGTTGACGGAGTCTGGGGCTTGATTCGCTTTCAAACATTTACACTGACAAAACTAAAGATGTTTTATGATTTAACGGCTCAAAAAAGGTCAAATAAACTGTCTACGCCGCGAGAAGTAACACTGACGCCGTCGCTTAATTAATGTCACTTTAATTAAACACAGCGTGAATCTGTGAGAACAGATTGGTGCTCAATCTATGGCCCTCCATCCCTGACCTGTTATACAGTGTATGAAAGGTGTAAAAGAAAATAGAAAAACCTCTGACTTGGAGTTGTGAGAAACACCGACTTGACTGGACACCTCAGGATTCCAGCTGTTCGACTGTGCTGTAACAGATGTCAGTGTTTATGTTGCTGTTGTTGCTGCTGTGTGTTGCACAGGGGGAACGTGTGTGGTGAACCCCACCGATCTGTTCTGCTCAGTACCGGGCCGTCTATCGCTGCTCAGCTCCACCTCCAAGTACAAAGTGACTATCGCCGAGGTGAAAAGAAGACTGTCTCCTCCAGAGTGCCTCAACGCTTCTTTACTGGGCGGAATATTACGCAGGTAGGAACGCACACACACCCAGGAACATGTATAAAGACAACTGCGAGAATTGATATATATATTCGTGGTTCTAAAGACGACACATCTATGTTGACTGTAGGTGTGAGTGCTGTTGTTTTTGTGTTGCTGTGATGAACTGGATGACTTCTGTCAGGTGTTCTTACCTTTCACACGACGTCAGCGACGTTGACGACGGCTCCCCGTGAAATCTTTAGCAGTGGTGAAGCAGGGAAAGAACCAGGATTACAGCTGTTGACCTTTATTATGATCCAAATGATCACGCCACCTCTCATTGGTCGGCATCTTATCTGTCAACACAGACAAAGGCAGAACAAAAATGTTTAAAGGTTATTTTGAATTCTGATGATGAATATATATATTAACACTATCAGTCTCCACCAAGATTTCAAAACTGACGACAACTTTACTTTTCATATTTAAATCTATTTGGTTCACTTCTTCTAGAAAACCATCTGAGTCTTAGCCGTTGAAGGAGACAGAGGAGGCTGAAACTGAGTCCACTTAGGGGCAAAAAAAAACAAAAAAAAAACGGGGCCAGGTCTGCACTCGCTGCCGTGCCCAGAAAGCTGGAGGGGGGCGAGGCCGGGCCAAAGCGTGGCAGCATCAGAGGGAAGCAGAGGAAAACAAGAGTTGCCAGAGCTGTATTATTGATGAAGTGGGGGGGAAATGTGGGGAGGAAAGGGAGGAAGAGAAAGAGAGGGCAGAGAGAAAATGGCCGGTCCTACAAGATGAAGCAGCAACAAAGAAAAAGAAAGGAAACAGAAACAGTGACAATCGTCTTAATAATCTTATTTTTTTTCAACATTTTTGTTTCCTTTTCTTCCAAGTTTAGACACAGCTACAACAAAAACAGAAAAAGAACTGAATATGAATTGTGCAGAAAATGACTTTGTCAATGGAAATAAAGGACATTTAAAGACAACATGTGAAACTAAAAATGCTATGGAAAAAATAAACAATAAATATGCATTAATAGCTGTGCAAAGACAAACACTGTGAAAGTTAAAGTATTTCATGGAACAGAGGAACTATTTTTCTTTCCAAAATAGAAACCTCAAACCTAAAACTGTGGTTCAAAAGAATAAAAAAAAACCCATGGGAACCATGTGACTATACAGTACTGTGTATGAAGTATGCATATTTCAGTACTGATGAGCTGACATGTTCTCTTTGAGGTATGGTGCCTACAGTAGAGTCATTGCTTTGACAGATTAAAACACTTCTGCTGTTCTTTCTTCTGAGCGTAAAGAATCCAGATGGTTCCACAAAGAACGAGCAGAAAAGATTCACAGATTTCATTTTTCTTCCAGAGCAAAGTCTAAGAACGGAGGTCGGTGTCTTCGTGAGAAACTAGACCGATTGGGCCTCAACCTGCCGGCCGGCCGGAGGAAAGCTGCCAACGTCACGCTGCTCACCTCTCTGGTGGAAGGTAAGAAGTTTCAGCCTCACACTCTCAGACTTTCTCTCTTCTGCCTGTCTTTGGGAACAACTTTTAGATTTTGTTTTTCCTGGTGTTTTTGTTTCATTCCTGTTTTTTTTCCACTGTGCTTGTGCTCAGGTGAGGCGCTGCACCTGGCAAGGGACTTTGGCTACACCTGTGAGACAGAGTTTCCCAGCAAGGCGGTGGGCGAGCACTTGGCGAGGCAGCACAGCGAACCGAAAGAGACCAGCGCGCGCAAGAAGATGGTTCTGGCAACCAAGTAAGGAGGCAAACACCAGCAAACACCACAGAGCGCTCACAAAATGAGCAGTGAATGAAAACCTGGGTTAAATGGACAGCAGTAACTGTCAGCCCACACACGGAGAGTCAACATCCCCCCAGGGTTGGACTCAGGCCCCTGGAGCAGCTTCATTTCATCACTCATATCCTCAAAAAAAGAAAAAAAAAAATCAATAAAAATATACATTACGACAGGAAGCATACACAGATGTTGGCGTCGGCACAAAGAGGTTAGAGCTGCGGTCAATCACAACAGTCAGAAGATGAGATGTTCAGTGTTCCATCACTGTTAATGCAGTATAGGCCACCAGGGGACGGACGTATATGAAGGGGGGAAAAAATATATATATTTAAGATTGCAGTATTTCTAGTATTATGTGCAGTAGTTTTCTGTTTACTACTGCTGTATTGTACAAATACAATAAAATATTTCACGGTAGTCACTCTACGTTCTGGTTCGACTCTGCTCCGATAACCAAACACTGGTTAATTCATGGAGTTCGGGAAACAAGGCTAAAGCAGCGGATGTGAAATCAGCACCACGGTCAGCTCACTGAAAGTTATTATTTTACAAACAAGCTGCAAAATGTAAAAAAAACAAAACAAAAACGGAAGCACCTGCTTTCTACTGCGCACCTTCTTTCTACTGCTTATAAAATAAATATTTTTTACAGTTTATTCATGAACATACACAGACAGGTGCAGAGAAGACAAGGCTGGAGGTTTTCTAGAACTCCTCACTGCTCAACCTGCAAGCTCTGGTCAGATTCACCCAAGCACCACTAGAGGGAGCCCTTGAATCACAAGTAATGTGCACACCATAGTTTGAGAACCACATTCCAACTAAACCTGGATACATTTTTTTTTTAAAAAGTTTTTTTTTCTTCCACTTAAGCTTCCTCCAAAAAAAGTTTTTTTTTTTCTTCAACTTAAGCTTCCTCCAAAATAATGAGAGGAAAAGTTTTCTTCCACTTAAGCTTCCTCCAAAATAATGAGAGGATGGGCGACAAAAACAGAAAAATAGTCACAATTGTGTTGGAGACAGATGGTAAACCCTCACTCTCCCCCCTCTCTCCCTTCTTACCTCCCTCCCTCCCTCCCTCCCTCCCTCCCTCCATCTGTCTCTCAGGCAAATCTGCAAGGAGTTCCAGGACTTACTGAGCCAAGATCGTTCTCCTCTGGGCTCATCCAGACCGACCCCCATCCTGGACCTGGACATCCAGAGACACCTCACACACTTCAGGTGAGGACTAATGTGCAGTGATTCCACCCTCTCTCTCTCTCTCTCTCTCTCCCCCTCCCTCTCTCTCTGTCATTTAAAACCATAGCGTGGAGCAGGGACAGTTTTCCTCCCAGAGTTTCTATTCCCTGTTTTGGCTCTGACCTCTCTGCCATTTTGGGAAAGTTGCAGCTGTGCAGTTTGTTGTTTGGCACCGACAACAGAAGAAGAAGAAGAAGACGAGTTGATAGAAATGTCACATCTATGACGTCACACTCTAGTATAACTGAATGTGCAGTTTTATCAGATGTCCAGCAGGGGAAATGTTGGTCATTTAACCACAGATATGCTGTTTTTTTTCTTCTTCTTCTTCACACTTTGATGTTCATAAACCTTTGGCAACTTAAATCTTAACACTGAACACAACATGCACAACAATATATTAGAGTTTTTTTTTTTAAGACAATTTAATTCTAGGAAACCTCTTCAAATTGCTGCTTTCTTTTCTTTCCTTTCCCCATTTTTAACTAAGTGCCTTGACCAGTAAAACTAAAGATTTTTTTATTCAAAAGTAGTGTTTGTTAAGGCCAAGAAAGTCTTTTCTGAAAATACTGTGACCTAAAAATTAAAACAATTTTAGGAGAAGGATAGAAAAGAAAACGTGTTTTTTTTTTTACACCTGAATGAACCAGTCGTCTCCGTGTCTCATTCTCCTGTTCCCTCCTCTCTCCTGACAGTCTGATCACTCATGGGTTCGGCACGCCGGCAGTCTGCGCGGCTCTCAGCACCTTCCAGACGGTCCTGAGTGAGATGCTCAACTACCTGGACAAGAACACCAGCGGGAAAACCAGCGGCCCCACCGATCAACAGATCAACAGCAACTCAGAAAAGACGCAGCTCCGGAAAACAGCCGAGCCCCAGAGCAAAGACGGAAAAACAGAAAAGACTGAGTAGCCCCCACCCACCACGGTCCCTGTGCCTTGGAGCGCTGCATTTAGGAGTGTGTGTGTGTGTGAGTAAGTGTGTGTGTGTGTGTACACGGGGTTTGATACTCCCGTGCATTTTTGTGTCTTCACTGGAACAATTCCTATTTATTGTTATTTATTTACATTATGTTGGAATGGAACATTTTTAGACGTCCCACATTCTAATGAGGGATTTGAACATTATCTGTGTGTGTGTGTGTGTGTGTGTGTGTGTGTGTGTGTGTGCCTGTGACTCATCCGAGACGTATTTATTTATTCTGAAATTGGAGAGGAAAATATGAACATAATTAACACAAAACTGTTCCAGAACAGGAGTGGTAAACAACACACACACACCAACACACACAAACACACACACACACACCAACACACACAACCCAGGGATTTGAAGTTTATCACCTGACAAAGTTCAGCAAATTTAAATGACGTGACATCAGCAGGGATGTAACGATATTCTGACCAAATACAATGATCCTTTTTATTTGTAAAAAAAAAAAACTATGCAAAAATACCTGAAATGATTGTGATCTTCAATTAGAGAATAAAAAAAAAAAAGCACATTTTCTTACATCCCACGTCATCAGTGTCATCGTGACATCACTACCTTGGAGTACAGGTCTGGATGGAGATACAGAAGTAAAGTCAGTTTCTACACGTCAGATATTTTAGGTCTCAAATTCAAACTCAATAGTTTATGTTGTGGCCCATTAGCATGAAGCTAAAAAAAACTAGCTTTTCAAAATTAAAAATCTCTAAAGTCACTGTAATAGTTCCTCTTTGAGAAGATGTTTGAACACAAACAGTGAAAACTGATCCACATGTTTAATTTATTTTACAACATGTACAGGAAGACACACACACACACACCTTTTCTTTTTCTTCCAACCACTCCTGTACCTGTAGAATCACTGGAACGACTTTGTTTTTTGTTTTTTTAATTTAAAAGTATTTATGTTTACGATCGGTGCCATGTTTACTCCTGTCTCTGGATGAGAGAGTGATGAAACACCACTGTCTGGACAAGGACACGATTGTCTCTCTCTGTGTGTGTGTGTGAGACAGAGTTAACGAGCGCCAGGAAGCCTGAGAGAACGGTCTGACTCTGCATATCCAGTAGGGGGCGACCACTGAGATTGCCGTTGTCCCTCTTCCACCGTGCATGTCTACCTTCATACACCCAGCCCGGCTGCCCCCGACCCATCTCTGCCCCCCCGACCCGCCCCCCCCCCCCCCCCACCCCCCCACCCCCTACCCCCCCCCCTCCCGCCACAGCCACTGGTCACTTTAACCCACCAACTTGAATAAATGATTAAAGCCAACAAATAGTAAATGTAATTTTTCTCACATTTAAAGTTTAAAATACGATTTTGAATGTAAAAGTACAGTATATTTCAATTACATAAAACTAAGACGCTGAATATTAGAAGAAGTCAGTTTTGACAAAACACAAAAAAATGTAAAGATTATGTGAAAAATAACTGGTAAAAAAATAAAGAAAAGGCCAAAATAATGTTAATGACAAAATGATGGATGGATGGGAGATGGATGGATGGTAGATGGATGAATGGTAGAGGTTGGATGGCTAGAGGGTTGGATGATAGATGGATGTGTGGATCGATGGCTAGAGGGTTGGATGATGGATGGATGATAGATAGATGGATGGATAGTAGAGGTTGGATGGCTAGAGGGATGGATGATAGATAGATGGATGGATGATAGATAGATGGATGGATAGTAGAGGTTGGATGGCTAGAGGGTTGGATGATAGATGGATGTGTGGATCGATGGCTAGAGGGTTGGATGATGGATGGGTGGATGGGTGGGTGGATGGATGGTAGAGGTTGGATGATAGATGGATGGGTGGGTGGATGGCTAGGGGGTTGGATGATAGATGGATGGATGGTAGATGGATGAATGGTAGAGGTTGGATGGCTAGAGGGTTGGATGATAGATGGATGTGTGGATCGATGGCTAGAGGGTTGGATGATGGATGGGTGGATGGGTGGGTGGATGGCTAGGGGGTTGGATGATAGATGGATGATAGATGGATGGGTGGATGGCCTTCACAAAAGCCTGTATTTCACCTAAATCTCAAATACATATATTCACACATATATATTTACATATACATAGGTTCATATTTAACGACTACCAACAGCAACAACAACAACGTAGAACAGGCAGCAGTTCTAACAACAATGTATACACACAAATACACATTACAGTAGTACACCGTGATGAACTGCACCTACTATACTCCACAGAGTACAAATACACGGAGAGGCCGCGGAGGCAGAGCAAAGACTAAAGAGCAGCAGCCGGGATCAAAGACAGGAGTTCACAGAGTTAAAATAATAGATGAAAAAGTCAGGGTTCGTCTGTGAAGATGTGGGAGACGGCTCCACCTACAGGAGAGTTCAAACGTCTCCTTTGTGCGGAGGATGTGTGTTTTTCCTCCTTAGTTCCCCCCGACTTCTATCAGGGTTTTCGTCTTATTTATATTTCAAATGAAAAAACAACAACAACCACAACAACAACCTGGGAGAGGAGAAGAGGAGCTGCTGTCACCGCCTGCTGGCGTCGACACATTTCATTAATATTCCCGTCATTGACAGGAAGGTCACGTCCACGGAATAACAACAACACAAACACACAATCAGACGGGATGTATTTACAGCGACGCCCGGTTTGTCGCACTCCATCAGTGAACACAGCCTCAGGTGGAGGAGAGGAAGAGGAAGAGGAAGAGGAGAGAGAGGGACTATTTGGGGGGTTTGGTGGCTGACAGACAGGTGGCGTTATACTCTACATACATCGTACTAGGAAAAACAAAACCCAGACAAACGACCTTCAACAAATCCTGCTTCCATGTCCAGGACACTCCAGTAACAACCCTCTCTTCTGTGCCATTATTTAATCTGGTTGTTATGACGACAACGACAGTATGCTGTTTTTAGTCAGTCCTACAGTCTCCAAAGTCTGAGAGTTGGTGAACAAAGTCAAAAAGTTCCAGGACAGATGTTTCTGTTGTTCCAGAAATGTTTCTCATTGTAAACAATAAATCACGATCAGAGACGTCTCCGTGTCTCCAACAACTTTGACGAGTTTATCCTTACATTTTTGTCAATGTTGAGTTTTGTTTCCTTTAATATGATCAGAACCTCTCAAACCTTCAAAAATGATTTAAGGTCGGGGGGGTCGGGGGTGTAGAAGGGAGCTAGAGTTTTCCTTTTCACACCATACTGGTATTGTTTAAGTTAAAAATAAAAGAAATGACAATGTGCACAAATAAACAACAACAAAAATGCTGCTGCTTCCTTTTCTTAGAAAGTCTATGTCAGGTTACACCATCACAGTTGAAGGTTGCTGGTTCAACTCTCATGACTGGCAGAGCTGTGGTGTGTTAAGAAGGAAACCAGAACAATAAAAAAATCACTGCTGGTTTCAGTCAATTACAGCAAAAAGGGCACAAATACAGAAACATGGTTTTTTAGGTCTGTGTCGTGAAGGTGAGACTGACTTCCTGTCAAACTGTCCTTCCATATTTCTGTCCAACAGGTCAAGAATCTGAAAGTTGTCTTCAGTTTTAATCTTTGGATAAAGTCTCCTTCATGTGCCTAGAAATTCAGACCTAGAAATGTAACGACGTGTTTGACGGAGGCTGAAAAAAAATCTAATGAAATCATTGATGGAAATCTTCAGCTACAAACGAAGTCTGACGTTCCATGTTTTACGTTGATCCATTTTTTTTAACTACTACTTTGCGTAAACATCGTCTCACAAAGACCAACGTGACATGAAAGCACAGTCTGATTATTTGGATGGTTGATGGGAGTTCATGCTGCACAGAAAAATATTTACAAAAAAAAGTTGGTTTTTTTGTTTGTTTAACTTTTTCCTGATGTTTGTCGAGCAAAGAAAACGTATGGATGACGCTTGCTTTAAAGTTGACAAGCTTTAATTACTTTTTTTACTGTCAGCTGTTGAGAGGAATCAGTCTGCTGTAGACCACCATCCTGTGTGTGTGTGTGTGTGTGTGTAACAGAGTGAAGAGTATGAAGTGAAGCAGCTTTCTAAATTGGCTCTTTGATGGTTGCTGCATCTCACTGGAGGCTATGAGCAGCAACAAATGAGCATAAACACACACACACACACACACACTGTGAGATGTGGTGTGTGTGTGAGCTAATCCCACTTTTGTTTATCAGTAGCATGATACACGTGATGTCTGTGAAGAGGAGAGGCAGCATTAGAATAATCAGCCGCCTGATCAAAATGAGCTGGAGAAAAAAAAAAATCAAAAAAAATCGATGCATCGTCTCTGACGGACTTTCTGTAAATTGACAAACGGACAAGAATGAATCACATGTTTGACTGCAGCGCTGCATAATGTGACGAGGCGGCCGATGCATTATTCACACCGGTTATTGATCCATTTACAATGCACTGCCCTGATTTCACCACACCAGGCGTGAGGGCAGCTCCTCCGTCTAATTCACCGGCGTCTGCGGCGGTGGATGTTTAGACGAAGGAGTCTCGGTGGGAATAAAACTCCTGCTGGCTGAAACCAAACTCTGCCAACTTCTAAGCCTGCAGGTTCTCTGAGTCTCATGGCATAAACCCACAGCTCCAGCTCCTCCATCACCTCCATCCAGGCTTCACCACTAAAGCCCTCTCCATCTTCTGTCCTGATCCTGTTCTGTCCCAGGAACATCCATGGCCTTTTCTCCTCATCCTCCATATTCACTGACTGTTCCTGTCAACGTCTGCCTGGCTGTCACACACACACACACACACACACACACACAGACTAAAACACCTTCTTCTCCAAGACCATGAAGATTTATCTGCTCTACTTCTACTAGTTCTAAAAGACACCTTCTTCTCCAAGACTATGAAGATTTCTCTGCTCTACTTCTACTAGTTCTAAAAGTTTATTGAACGATAGAAAATAAAAGTCAACTTTGCTCAGCAGCCTGTAGGGTGATGATGATGATGATGGTGATGATGATGGTGATGGTGATGATGATGATGATGGTGATGGTGATGGTGATGATGATGATGATGGTGATGGTGATGGTGATGGTGATGGTGATGGTGATGGTTCACTCCTGATGGACCACAGGTGTGAATGGACATTTGTCTCCATGTGTGGACCAGAGGTGGACTGGACAACGACCCAAGGTTCACTATCATATCAACCTAGAGTACTCAAGAGTATCACAAAGTACTTATATCACCAGAAGTACCACAGAGTACCACCAACCTAAGTCACTGTTCTTCCATCAGTTTGACTTTTTAATCTTTCTTTAGCTTTTTCTGCCACAATGTTGTTGTTGTTTTTTTTTACTTCAATCCGTCTCTGATAATAATAACGATTTAAAAAAATAAAATAATTATAATAATAATAAACAGAAAAACCAAAGACTAAGGGTTAAAATCTGAGTTCATCTGTTTGGCTCGGTGTCTTTCACTCGGCCTTCACCTCGTTTCTGTGGTGCTCTAGTGCGACCTAGTGGTCAACACATGAACTGTAACTCAGTTCTAACGGAGTTAAAAGACATAATTGTAGCTTCTCTACAACCGGATGAAGTTTAACAGAAAAAGGGGAACAAAAAACAAAAAAAAAAAACAAAAAAAACTTTGAGGAATTAGCACCAGAAACAGAGCAGAACGTTCCGGTCGGACTGCAGGTGTGTGTTTGATCTTCAAACACTCATGTCTACACGGGTTGAGTTTCCCCTGACGTGACTGCCAAACAAAAAGCTGCCACTGAGAACATGAGGCATGAATGTTTAAGAGACACGGCTGTTCCTGACTTCTCTGAAGACACCCAGTGCCAATGACTGTCCCCCATCCCTCCCCTCATCTCCCTCCTACACACACACACACACAAACACACACACATATATATAGAACACATATCCAAACACTCCCACATGGCAGCGTGTATGACTGTCAGCTATGACAGATGTCCTGACAGTCTGTTAGTCTGGAGGCAGGGTTCCTGGGTTCTCGTCCTGCAGGGCTTTTGACATATGATGCACCGGCATTACACTGACACACACACACACACACGAATATACACACACGTCACACTGACAACACCACGTCTGCTCCGTGTCCTTTGTTTACAGACAGCAACAACAAAGTACAAGACAACCTTTCTTATTTCTGCACACAATTCTGGTCAGGGGGGAACAAAGGGTGGTTCACGTCACCTGCTCTGACCAGATGAACCACCTCTGAAGCCTCATAAGAAGAAGAAGAAGAAATGAAAAAAAAAGAAGTTCTAAACCAACCATAATTCTTCACGGACCATCTTCATCACCACATTGTGGGCAAACAGGAAATGACCTTTTAAAAAAAGACTGACTCAGGTCAGAATGTCTGTCCAGACAGACACAAGTAGAAAAAAAGAAGACGATGATGTCATGTTGTTTGGCTCCCAGCTACAGTTTATTATTTTACTGTAGTTCTGTTGAGCAAAAAGTTGTCATAAAACATATAAAAAGTTAAATATTTGTTCATTTTACCTCTTTAACGTTTCTCTCATTGTGACATAAAGAAAAATATATTTTTTAAAAATATGTGAAAATTATGACTGGAATGTATTTGGACTCTTATTCAGGTAAAAATTTGAATATTAAACATAAAACCAATATTCTAACAAGAGTTTTGTGTAAATATAATATGACGATTTAATATTGTTACATCCGAAAGATGCACCAAACTGCATGTATGGTGTCGAGACACTAGGGGGAGCAGTTTACAAACACTTAGGAGCCAAAGAGTACTTGGACACTGGAGTCAGTGTCGTGAAACTCTGCTGTATTTTCACCATTTATTGTAGAGTGTAACAAAGATCTTGCTGTGAATTTGAATAACATTTATTTGAGTTTAGTCGAACTGATGTTTTTATATTAAAGTTAAAAGTCATGGTGTGAGAAACAAAGGCAGGAAATGAAGGCAAGTCACGTCTCTGGTCAAATGTGAGGCCTGTAAATGCATCACAGTGAACAGAGAACAAATCCATATCAATAATGTGATAACCTAACACTCTAGGTTTACGCAGAATATGACTAAAGGTGTATTTGGAAAAAAATGTAAATTAAAAATGTTTTTAATACATTATACTCCTACTACACTGTTGCATGAAAAGACAAAAAAAACAAAACAATTTCATACACAGTTGAGAGATTGGATTTCCTCAAATCTAACCATGACCTGGAACAGAACTTGCAGCTGAAATTCATGTAACGTCTGAGATAATTGCCTCTATATGAGTCAATATTTTGATGCTAAAAAAAACCAAACAAAAAAACTGTGCCAACATTTTTAATTGCCGTTTGTAACCGAGTGTGATTATAACAACCGTCTTAGCCTCATGTTGGTGAGTGAGTGTACGATGTGGTGGGCGTACGATGAACAAGGTCAGCGTGTGGATATAATCAACCAACAGTGGTGTCAACAACGTAAAGAAATCCTGTTGTTGTTTTGATTCAACAAACACCAGCGTGTTTCACCGGTCGATCTTCACTGCCTGTTCTTTCCTCTCAGCTGTTTACAGCCAATAATGAGAGTTCAAAGGTTCAAAGAGTTAAAGTTACAGGTTAGTGTTTGTCAAACAAACATCAACGTGGAAATAACCAGAAGTCTGACAACTTCACAACGTCACAGAACTGTTCCAGGAAGTTAGAACTAGAAGGTTTACACTGAAATACCTTCAGATATGTTTTACTAGAAAAACCACATTATGTTAGAGATAAACAAAGAGCAGGTGAAGGAAGGCAAAACTGCAGAAATATATACAAACCTATCAGAAATGTGGTTACATTTAAAAAGAAAAACACAAAAACTAATGTTGATTGTTTTAGAAAAATGTGGGAGAGCCAGAAACAATTGACACCAGATAATTATATATTACTAAAATACATGGCACGAAAGGTCAGAGCTAAAAAAAAAAAAAAAAAAAATTAAAAAGTTATGAGACAGAAAAATGTTCAAAGTGATGATGGACTATGATTGGACCCCGGACCAGATTTTACATAAGTATATTTTTTTAGATTTTACCATAAATAGGTAATAAGATAATAAGTTCCTGTTTATTTGAACCCAATTAAATATTTGACATTTCTGACCTTTAAAGAATAAATATCCACTCGATCTGTTCATGTTTGTCTGCTGTGGAATCTACTGAGTCTTTTGTGCTTTTATTTTGGGAAGTGTATCGTCATAAAACAGACAATACATGTATTTCCTGTTGGGAAAAAAACTCTCTCTCTCTCCCTCTCTCTCTCTCTCTCTCTTTCCAAATCTACTGATTACAGGCAGCTCTGCTTTTACAGTACAGTCGTTCAGGCTCTACAGGGGTTCCCCATTCACAAGGGAAGGAGAGAGAGGGAGAGAGAGGGTGAGAGAGGGTGAGAGAGGGAGAGAGAGGGAGTGTGTGTGTGTGTGAGAGAGAGAGAGGCAGAGCGAGGGTAAGTGAGAGAGAGAGAGAGAGAGAGAGTAGAGACGCCCGTTCTTTCTTCACTTGGCTGCATTCGGTTTCCTGACTCCAGAGAAGCGACCATGCTGTGGAAACTAGTAGAGAATGTCAAGTATGAAGATATTTACGAGGTAAAGTCACCGCCCGGCTGTTTGTCTGACTCTTAGGAACTTTAATCTGGGGAACCTGGAGACTAGTGACGTGTTTTAGGCTGCGGGCCTTTTTTTTTTAATGTAATTCTGTATGTGTGTAAATGAACAGGTGCAAAAATTAATTAAGGAAAAAAAAATCATCTTATTGTCTGATTTTAATTTTTCGTAATATTTGTATTTATTTTTGGTGTAATGCTGTCGTGTTCCTGCGGGGTTTTATAATTCAAGTCAATGTAATATATTTGACATATTTGACGGATTATTATGAGCAGTGCTTTTTATTCCCACGGAAATTCAACTCCAGGCTGATCTCAAATGCCATAAATTAATTTTATGTTCAGTAGTTCAGTCAATATTTGTGTTAAAGTTCATATTGAGAAATATGAATATATATATATATATATTTAAGTTATCAACTATGTTGGTGGTTCAGTGCGGGGTGAGGCGTCTGAGATATGGATGTAAATCATTTTGGCTTTCAGCCCGGAACAATATTTTCTGAATGTGCGCAAAAGGAGGAGGAGGGCGGGAGGGAGAGAGGGAGAGAGGGAGAGAGGACCAGCCTCTGTGGGCGAAGACACGCTCCCACGGGCGCAGCACCTTGCGCAGGTGGAGTCCAGCACAAAGCCGTAGGAGAAAAGAAAAAAAACCACAACAACAACAACAAAAAAAAAGGTCGAGGTCCCTCGGTTCCAGCCCGGTGGGAAGCCGCTCTTTGGTGCCGCACATGGCTCCTCTCCCACGGCTCCAGGAGGGTGAACAGAAGCCTGAACCTCGCGCGTGTTTGACTCGTGTGTCCCCACTGGTGTTTTTGGAGTAAAACAAAGAAGCAGCTGAGATGAGATAA